TCCACCAGACTTTGAATTTCTGGGCTCTGTTCTTTTCTTTTCATATTTGGTTTGCAAACTAAGCAAGGACTTCCTGAATGTAAGCCCGGTGAAATACCCTGTTGGACAATACAAATAACCAACAGTTAGACGCGCTATCAAGATGCCATTTCAGCAAACGTTTGCCATTGAAGAACATCTATCATATTTACATATTTGATATTAAAAACATTTTTAAACTTTCCAGTACCTGCTTCCTTGCCAAGCACATGCAGACTCCTCAGTATAGGCCACAGAGTGGAGGTTTGTTGGGGTAGCACTCCCCTACAACCCGTTTCTCTATGAGAACAAATAACGCCAGCTACAGTAGAAACCACCTCAAATAACAGGGTTAATTTTCATTCATGTCGCAATCTGATGCAGGCTGAGCAGTAATCTGGGACTCTCCTTCCATCTGCAGCTCCATCCTCTTGGAGTCTGTTACTTCGAGCTTTGGAGTGGAGAATGGACCAAGAGGAAGACCTTCTTAAGATTCAATAGGACAAAGCACACTATGATTTAATAGGAAGACTTTGTTGTTTTGAAAATAATTCTGTATTTCTCAACGGCAAAGGGGCGTGTGTGTGTGTGTGTGTGTGTGTGTGATTTCAAGTAACGCTAAAGTCTGCGGACACTTAGGAACACAGAAAGGATATTTACAGAACATATCTCTCCTTCCGCAGATGACCTGCCTAGCAGGCTCAGCACTTCAAAAAGAAGCTGCATGGCAACAGTAATTTCGCAAATCTAAGCAAGCATGTAAACCCCAATATTCTTCAAACATGGGGTCAGAGCATCCCAGAAAGGAGTTTTGGAGGTGAGAATACATGACATGACCCTGAAGTTTGGTGCGTTGTTGGAGGAAGGAGAGCAGGGGCTTCACGGGGAGAGGAGGCAGCGATTTCCCTTGTAGGGAGCCTTATTACTTCTCTTCCTTCTGGGCTCCCCACGAGTTCAGAACTACCGTGATTTTATGCAGAAGACTCCGCTACTCCCGAAAAGCTCTTCATCTGCAACATCACGTAAAAAATAAAGTGAATCAGAAAAGAAAGAGAACAGCGGAATACGACAGAGTCATAAAGTTTAAGAGTCTTCTTGTTTCCTATCCTGGTTCTGCATTTTACACTCGCACGTTGCAGCTGCAGCAAACGTGGAGGTTGTGGTGAGGGTGAGGGTGGTCACGAGGTTGTTGATGATGAGGATGGACACAAGGAGGATCTGATGCCTTACCGAGGGCTAAGATGTGCCAGGCATTCTGACAGCTAAATTACCATTCAATCTCATGCCTGAGAAAAGTGGGTAATGTAAATAGGATTTACCCCAGTTTGTAGCAGAGCGATTGAAATCTTGAGGAATTAAACACTTTGTTCCTAAAATCAATCAGGCAGTAATTAAGGGAAATAACCTGGATTTGACATGAGATTGAAAGAATGTTAGGTAGCGCTCCAAAATTCAGAGAACACTGAATGTGAGACCTGAGGCTTGGGACAAAGAAGGATAGAAAGAAACCCAAAAGGGTGAGAGGATATTGCTGACAAGCAGGTTTTCAAAGAAAGACAATATCCCATCCCACAAAATGGCACTTTATTCAGGAAATGGAAGAAAAGGAACAATTGCCAGGTGATACAAACCCCTGCCCAGGGGACAGACAGACACAGAAGACATCAAGAGCCTCCCCTGCTGGCACCCAGGAAGAGAGCTGCTGCTCTTCCTCCTGAAGCTCTGGGATGCTGGCACAGCTGAGGATGCCCTTCCTCAGCTCCCTCCCGGAGAGGAGCAGTGTGACAGCCTCAGGAAGGAACCCTTTTGCTGTCAGGGGTCACACAGGCATTTTCCAGGCTGAAGGGTGGAGGAGCCGCTTCTGCCACCATGATAGGCTCGGAAGAGAAGGTGAAGGTGGAGCTGTGGAAGCAGGCGAGCCAATGGTCCTTCTCTTTTCCAGATCCTGATGCTGCTGAAGCTGTTACTTGCTCTTGGGCGGGCACTTCTGCTGGCATGGTGGAGGAGGTTGCACAGGAGGGCATTTCTGCTGCCTCTGTGGGGGTGGGCACGGCTCAGGGCATTTTGGGGGCGGGCACGGCTCTGGGCACTTAGGTGGGCACACAGGAGGGGGCTGGCAGGGCTGCTTGCACTGCTGCTGTTGAGAAGACATCTTTCTGGAGTCTTCGGAGCTGAAAGAAATTAGAGACAGTGTTCGCAAGAAGGGACTCCTCCAGAGAGAGAAACCGCGGCTGATAGAATAGCAGGAGATGTTCCCTCTCCCATTTCCAAGACTGGGCTTTCATCTCTCAACTCCCTCTTTTGCGCCTTCCACCACCCTGCTTCCTCTTTAGCCAACTGCCTCATCAGTCCTGAGAAAATCCTCTCTTTGCTCATATCATTTTTTCAAAGAAAATATCTCTGAAAGAACCAACTCATGTTTTTCTAATGGAAAGTACATCTTCATGAAAGGCCCTCAAAAGTTCTGAAATCCTGGGCAAACACACAAGCAATTGCTATCATCGAGATCTCTTCTGAGGTCCCCATAGGTTGACTTAGGTACAGAGCAAATGGCCAGCAGGAAAAATGCAAGGGCCTCACACCTCCTAAGTTTTGGAAACCCTAGCAGGAGAAAAGGGAAATCGAAGAGATCGAGAAAAGAGAAATACTTTGGTCTTTCCTCCTCTTCATATCAAACCTTTCCTATGAATTGCTTTTCCATAAGGGATGTCAAACTAGCTAACAAAACACAAGTCAAGACAGGATATCATTGTGCCCCAAGGCTAAGCTTCCATCACCTATGTAGCATCAAACCCACCATCATACCTATGGACTCACCAAAATTGCTATCTCCACACTAAATTCAACATCTGAGAGCACCACAAAACACATGAATGGAAGAAATCAGACTTACCACGTTCTCCAAAGGAGGTTGGGACTCGAGTACCAGGAGGATGGCAGTCGTGCAGCAGAGCACCTCTTTATAGGGCCTGACGCTCAGCCTAGGGCAAAGTGTAGTTGCCAAAAACTGGCCTGTCCAATAATTCCCCAAACAAAATGCAAATCCATCCAGAACTGGCTTGACAGGGACACTGGAGACAGGAAATCTCCTGAACCAGGATCTGCGCTGTGGATTACGTGCTCATGACTCATGAAGGTCCCACCTTAGCTCTCAGTGTCAGTGACTAATGGCAGGGGGAGATTTTTGAAATTCTCTAACTGGTGGTCAAAGGCTCTCTCTCTTGACTGGGGTACAGGGCCCTTTCCTATCTTTCACCTTCCCTGAATCACAAAACTGCCTGCTCTGTTCCACTTTAGATGATTGTCCTTTTGCTGTACATGCTGGGTTGAAAAGAGCCTGGCTAACCCATGACACCTTTCTCTTTAACCCAAGTCCTTCTTATAATACATTTTCCCTGGATCCATGGCTTGCTCATCTTCTCTCCTTTTCTTCTTCTTAAAAGGACTGAGATAAGGCTTCAGATCATCTAAATTGCCTTCCTATAATGACGCTCAGAAACTCTCTATAAAATAGTGATCTCCAGGGTCCTATTTTCATGGCTTTGATCTTTCAAACAGAGAACATAAAGCTGATCCCTAGTGCCTTTATAAATCTGTACCAACCTGGGCTGCATGGAATCCACTAGGACCACAGCACATCTATTGTAATTCAGTGGATCAGAGCACTAAACTCTGATATCTAGGGGAAAATATGAACTTAGCTGATCTTATATACTTGCTTTCTCACACTCTCTTTCCAAAGAGGTTTTAGGTCCTTAAATGACAGTAATTTTTAAATTTTACTTGTATGTTTATTCTGTCTTTTCCTTAAGCCCACCAGTACCCTCAACTTGACACATTATCCTCTCACTGCCCAATGTATACCTCTTATCTGTCTTATTTCGTACATATCAATCACTCAAGAGTTGAGATCAGTGAATTTAGCGATTAGTCCCTTCATTTCTTTGTTAACTCTTCCTGCAGTCCATGGGGCTTACTAAATGCTATGTTCAGCATTTAAAGTGACGTTACTCGAGCCTCATTGTCTTGGCCAAATTATCAGGGAGCTCTCCAAGAATGTCGTTTTGTAATTGGAAAAGGAGGGAAAAAAGGAGAATGAGGAAGAAGAGGAAGAGGAGACATTTGAAACCTCTGAGACAGGTCACCAGCTATGCTCTGGAAAATAAATTATCCCTGAATCAGCCCAGCATCACATCCCCTCAGTTAAACAGATTAGGTGCCCACAACTGTCATTGCTCCTGTCAGTAAGGAAGAGTTCACGGCCAAGATTATCATTTGGCCATGACCATGCAGGGGCAGAGCCATCAGCACCTTCATGAGCACCTTCAGGCCAGGTACCTACAAACAGTATCATCATTAAATGTCTCATATAGAGTATTTCAGAGGGCAAAGAGGAGGGACTTTCCTCAGCAGGTCACTTACTACTCCTCGCAGCCTCACATCCAATCCACATATCAATCCTTAGAAGAATGTCTGGTTCTGTCATCCAGAATTTGAGAATTAGCTGCTCAAATGGGATTGAATTGTCAGATAATTCAGTCTTGGTTGCACGTTGAGACTCTCCCACTGAGGACGCCCCTCATAAAGGGTGCTAATCATGACAGTGCAGACACCAAAGTCGTGGTAGCTCTACTGCCCCCAACATGTCAAGTAGGAGTCACTTTATACGTTGCAGAGGTGAACTGCAACACTCAGAATTCCTCAAGATCTGGTACATGAAGAGCTGCCAGAAGATGAAGAATGGCATCTAATAAAGAAAGTTTTTCCAAGTTTGAACATCCAGGACCTGAGATGCAGAACACAGAATATGCACACATACCACATGTTTCATCTCTCTCTCTACCTACCTATCATCTATCTACATATCTAAAGAACTTGTCTTTATCGTCTTGAGTCAATAGTCCCAGGTTCAATCCTACTATCTCTATTCTCCAAATTGCTAATGAGTTTACTATGAATCGTTACTATATGAAAAATGACAAGAGGTAACAAAAATTTTGTCCAACTCTTGATTCAACATTTTATCTCACATTTTTCTACCATGTGTTATATTTTATTGAACAAAATAGTCCTGGGCAATAAAGATTCTACAATAAAATAGGGAAGAAATAAAGATTGGGAAATAGGAAGATGGTAAGATATTCCTGATATTCTTAGAGAAATGGTAACTGCAAGACCCCTTGATTTCTGCCTTTTGCTTTTATTTCTGAGTGTAAGGTTCACTCTCCATCATCCTTCCATAATCTTGCTGATTTGGATAAATTATGTACATTCCTATGGTGGACTTCTTAAGATCATTAAAGGAGAATATTTTGGAAATTGATTTAATATTATCAAAAATATTCAATTATAATTTTTAAAAGTATATGTAAATCATGGTGAGATTTTGATTAACATATATTCAAGAAAAGATAGGAAATACATAAAACAATTTGTTAAGAGTAATTAGATCTGGCTGGTATAATACAAACGATTTTTACTTTTTGTTTTTCTTTTCAAAAGAATCTCTTGCCTGAGTAGACATGGTATTCAAAAAGATGCTGCTATGATCAATGTCAAATAGTGTACTACCTACATTTTCTTCCAGGAGCTTTATGGTTTCATGTTTTACATTCAAGTCTTTAATCCTTTTTGAGTTAGCTTTTGTGTATGGTGTAAGACAATGGCCTACTTTTATTCTTTTGCATGTGGCTGTCCAGTTTTCCCAAAACGATTTATTGAAGAGACTTTCCTTTCTCCATTGTATGCTCTTGGCTCCTTTGTCGAAGATTAACTGTCCATAGATATGTGGCTTTCTTTCTGGGATTTCAATTTTATTCCATTGATCTATGTGTCTGTTTTGTGCCAGTACCATGGTGTTTTGATATAGCTTTGTATTTTGATGTCAGGTATCGTGACACCTCTAGCTTTGTTCTTTTTTCTCAGGACTGCTTTGGCTATTTGAGGTCTTTTATTGTTCCATATAAATTTTAGAATTCGTAGTTCTATTTCTGTGAAGAATGTCATTGGGATTCTGATAGGGATTGCACTGAATCTGTAGATTGCTTTAGGAAGTATGAACATTTTAACTGTGCTTATTCTTCCAACCCATGAGCATGGAGTGTCTTTCCATTTCTTTATGTCTTCTTCAATTTTTTCAATAATGTTTTATAGTTTTCAGTGTATAGAAAAAATAAACAAATGGAACTACATCAAACTAAAAGGCTTCTGTAAGCCAAAGGAAACCATGAACAAAATGAAAAGACAACCCACCAAGTGGGAGAAAATATTTGCAAGTCATATGTCAGACAAGGGGTTAATTTCCAAAATATATAAAGAACTCATATGGCTGAACAACAAAAAAACAAACAATCTGATCAAAAACAAGACAGAGGATATAAACAGGCATTTTTCCAGAGAAGATATACGGATGGCCAACAGACACATGAAAAGATGTTCAACATCACTAATTATTAGGGAAATGCAAATCAAAACTACAATGAGATAGGGACCCACCCAGTGGCACAGCGATTAAGTTCACACATTCCACTTCAGTGGCCCAGGGTCAGCCAGTTCGGATCCCAGGTGAAGACATACCCAGTGCTTGTCAAGCCATGCTGTGGCAGGCATCTCACATATAAAGTAGAGGAAGATGGGCACACTTGTTAGCTCAGGGCCAGTCTTCTTCAGCAAAAAGAGGAGGATTGGCGGCAGCTGTTAGCTCAGGTCTAATCTTCCTAAAAAAAAATAATAAAAAGAGAAAAAAACTACAATCAGATATCACCTTACACCAGTCAGAATGGTTATAATTACCAAGACAAATAATAGCAAATGTTGGAGAGGATGTGGAGAAAAGGGAAACCTCATGCACTGCTGGTGGGAATGCAAACTGGTGCAGCCATTACGGAAAACAGTACAGAGATTTCTCAAAACATTAAAAATAGAAATACCATATGACCCAGCTATCCCACTACCGGATATTTATCCAAAGAACTTGAAATCAGTGATTCAAAGAGATTTATGCACCCCTATTTTCATTGCAGCATTATTCACAATAGCCAAGGTGCAGAAGCAACCCAAGTGCCCTTCTATAGATGAATGGATAAAGAAGATGTAGTATAAATATGCAACAGGATACTACTCAGCCGTAAAAAAGACAAAATCATCCCATTTGCAACAACATGGATGGTCCTTGATGGTATGATGTTAAGCGAAATAAGACAGACAGAGAAAGACAAATACTCCATGATTTCACTCACGTGTGGAAGAGAAACAAATACATGGATAAAAAGAACAGATTAGTGGTTACCACAGGGGAAGGGAGCTGGGGGTGGGCGAAATGGGTAAAGGGGCACATATGTACAGTGACAGACAAAGATTAGAGTACTTGTGGTGAGCACAATGAAGTCTATTCAGAAATTTTTAAATAATAATATACACCCAAAATTACACAATGTTATAAACCATTAATGAGCTCAATAAAATAATTGAAAAACAAAAAAGAATCTCCATAGAATATCTGTCATTGAGTAAAGAATCTTAAAATTTTCCTTTGAAAAAGTGACAAGAGACAAGTGTGTCCATTGCTCAATTAGGGATAAAATATTCTTTCTCCTTTCCAGAACCGAGCTTCTGCACCACCATTTCTGGCCAGGCTCCAAAGTTGGGACTGGAGGTGGTTAGATGTAATTTTTTGTTATTCTTTCCCTATTTGATCACATCTCAATTAAAACCACTCTTGAAGAAAACTCCCAGTGATAATCCACCCTCCTCCCAGCATTGACACATACACACAAAGCCACAGGCTCCCAATAGTCACATGTATCTATGCAACAATTCAAGCAAAACTGGGGAGTCACACTTAGGTTAAAAAAATTAATAATGATTTTCTCTAGTTCCCAAGAGTCAGACAGACAGAAATCCTAAAATTGGTCAGACCATGAGAAAACAGGAAAAAGGATGGTATTAAGAAAGGTAGTAAGTATGAAAGAATATAGCAATAATAATAATATCTACCTCTAAACTGTTA